CTCTACAACTGCTGAAGATAGTCTACAAAACTGGAAAAATAAAGGTTTATGTAGCAAAGTATAATTTTTTACTAACCTGTTGTTCAACATGTTTGGGTGCAACTCAAGCATTCTTCAGTTATTTTCTCACAAAATGTGTGTTTTTATGCTTTCTATCACAATGATGGGTCTCTAAGATTTAGTGAAGAATTGATATCAATAAAGTTACTTACATCAACCCCAACGGGTACCGCGAACTCCTGGCATTTGGTCCCAAAACTATAGTGATTCAGTCGGTCGAGAAGATGCGTTTGCTTAAAAGAATTATGTTTATATCCACTCACATCCAAAAGAGCCATTCTTTATATAAAGAAAGTACGATTAAAGTAATTCAGACAGTAAAGGCGAAATGGCCGAAGTGTAAGTATTTTACATGAAGGAAACACGGAAGACAATGGTTTCGAAACCGAAAGATTTAGTAGTACTTAGTTTCGATTACAAGCAGAAAATATCTTTGAAAGACTATAATCTATAACTTCGAATAACAGCTGTAAATGCATTTCTTTTATTTGTCTATATGTTGTTTGAGAGTGTTGGTGATAAATATGATAAGTTTGAGATTGTCTGAGGACAAGGCTCTGTATAAAGCTGGCTGACCAATAGGAGCGCGCGTCTCTCAGCGTCCTCGGTCTCTGTGCAGATTCATCCGATGCAGGTTAACACCAGGTGAAACATTGCTAAAATGCGGAAACGTAAACGTGCACACACCCTATTGCAATAAATGTAATGCATAATGAGTTTAATGCATGGAACTGCAGAACAAATTATATTATAAAAAAGAATGCATGTAGCCTAAATGAACTGACCCTATACTATGTGTCAGAACTAATATGCTGTTCAATTAAAGGCTGACCTTTTATGCTCTTTCCTTTAAATGTCGTTTAGTTTAATACATATGGGTGTTGTGTGTGTGTGTGTGTGTATATGTAGCATGCCTACTTTTCGAAATGGAACACAAGCACCAATAGGCAAGTATTTATGATTTGCAACACAGTGATCTTTACACCGTATACATACTACACTTTTACATTATTGTTTTGAAAGCTTTTTAATTTGGCTTTAATCATTCATTTGAGCATATCAAATAACCAATAATAGCAATATTGCACAAAACGTCCTTGGAATTGATTTGTGTTGCATTTTTTTTATTAAGTTCTGTTGCATTTACTAAAACAGATAATTGTTTCCAAAACAGTTTTTAAAAATGATATGTGGGGCATATGCTGGAAATTGTAGTAGTTTATTGATGATCATCAGTCCACTGGCAGCCATGGAATTATGCGAACATCAGACATAAAAACACATTTACAGCATGATCTGTCTTTTTCCCGTTTGTTTGTCAAAACAGTAATTCCAGATCACATTATGACATCACAGTGTATTTCATGGCTCAACTGGATCCTGCTGTTTCCATCATTTGAACTGTCTCATGCACCAGCTCCAGCTGATTCACGGTTTTATTTAAAACAGGTGTTGTGCCTGGCTTATATTTGTACTTTGCCTGTCTGTAAAAGAGAGACAATGAGAGATCAATATATTACCAATATTAGGCATTAGGCACAATTAACACTAACCTTTAAATATGCAGTTGCTGTGACATGATATAATTTAATAAAATGTAAAAATGTGTAATTTAATAAAAATATATTTTTGTTTTTACCTCTTATAGTTATAAATGGACTCTCGGTGAGGTCTGATATAGTCCACCCCCTCTTTCGTAATCACACACAGGTCAATGTTGTTGCCTGATCCCAGGTCACTCATGATGCCTGCATGGATGGCATCGCTTACCAGTGCCTTGGCCTCCTCCAGCTAAAGGTTGAAAAAAAAAGACAATATAGTGACAGAAAGATCTAGTTTTATGCACTAAACAAAATGTAAAGTACAGTTTACTAAACAAAAAAAAAAAGCTTTTTCACACATTTTTTCATAAAATAAAGTCAAATCTACATTGTGATATAATATTGATATAATAAGTAATGCTAAAACCTTTCAGTTTATAGAACAACTTCTAACTTTAACTTGCAAATCTATGCAATGGGATATATAAAAATAACCTCGAAACATTAAAAAAAAAAATCTTTAAGGCACATTTTAAACCAATCGGCTCAAGAACTAAATTCTTATTGTCTAATCTGTGAGACACGACCTTTAAATATTTATTTAGGAAACAAAAGTCAGAGCCACACACATGGACCTCAGCACCTGACACATAAAACATGATAATGGTGACAAGCGATTACTTTTTTTTTTTCACACACACAAATAATTCTAACTGGAAAATGAACTTCAGGCATTGCCAAACAAGTTACAGAACTTGACAGCAACATCTGCAAAAGAAATAGTGAAAATTGCACTTTTATACCACTGAAAAGTACTCATTTGTGGATAAACTATAGCTTCTTTGGAATTAATACTTGAGAACTGCATTGTAAATAACATTCCAAAGTAATACTTGTAAGTTAGAGCTTTCATTTCTACATATTTGAACTGAGCACACAAGTAGAATATGCTTTTCAAGTTAAAGGGGTCATGAATTGACAAATCAAATTTTCCTTGATGTTTTGACATGTAAGAGGTCAATGTGCTATAAAAACATCCCATGAGTTTCAGAGCTCAAAACGTCCTTGTTAGACCAAAAACAGCTTTTATTGAAACCAAAATCAGAAAACGACTTGTTTCAGATTTTGTCACATTATGACATAATAGTGCAACGAAAGCCCGCCTCTGCAGAATCAGATCAACGCCTACTTCTACATCATCACGTCTTTGGCCCCGCCCACTGGAGCGTTAGTGAGATGAGAAGGAGAGAAGAGCAATAAAGCATAACTGGACTAAAAAAAACATTACCTTCCTAGGGAAGTAATTATAGATATGGACCTGACAGTAATACCACAACATAATAGGCTAAGTGACCGTGTTCATTCTAATGCCTAATCTTAAATTATATACAGAAAGCGATCAAAGAACGCTACCTTTACATCGCGTTTGCACTATTAGTTATGATGAAAGCATTTGTGAAAGTGTGAAACTCGTGTTGCAATGACGAGAGCATGCATTCATGCGTTCAACAGTCTGTCATCGGCTACAATGCTCATCGCTGCAGCCTTTCATGCGACGGGAGTAGATCTAAATATAATGCTATAATCAACACTCTCCATGATTAGTTCATCTCAACAGCTGAAATAGAAAAAACCGTAGTAAAGGTTTTTGAGAGAGCTCATCAGCTCCCTTCCAAGAGAGCGTTCAAATCAGAGGGCTAAAATCAGGGTAGAAAATGGCTTTTTATTTCTAAATTATGACAATATTTGATGTAAAAATCATACTAACATTATAAGTGCACCTCAGGAAACATTATCAAATAATAAAAAATGCAATGCATGACCCCTTAAATGCTTGAACCAACTTATTGAGTGTAGAAAATACCTTGCATTTTACTTCACCTTGAGCTACAGGAACAGTAATATTGACAATAGTAAACGTACAATAAGGAGGTTTTAACAAAAAAGCAACTTACATCCATGTTTCCTTTGAATCTGTCCTCCAGTATCCCCATAGCAGGCAGTTTACCAGATCCTTAAAACGCAGAAACATAGCTGTGATTATTCACTTGAGAACTGATCACATATATGCAAACAAATCTCTTGTATGAATTTCCACTGTGAACATTCAAGACTACAGCTTTTTGAAAATCAGTTAAATGTGCATATATTTTCATCCAATAGAAATGCATATTGATCTCAATTAGCACATTCTTAACTAATAAGTTGATCATTCATCAATTGGATGTCACGTACCCATGGCTAGATACGGCACCTTGTCCATGCTCCCATAAGGGCCAACCGTGTACAGGTGACTGCCAGTGCAGTCAACACCCCCTAAAATGAGATGAGCTCCAATCATACCTCGATACCTGAGAAACATTATCAACATTAGAGAGAGATATCACATAAAACACAGCCTTATGCTTCAATGGTACAAACAAACATACATGATCGCGCAATGTTTGTGTGATAACAGGTGAAGATAATAACACAGTCTGCACACACCTGAAGAGCATGTCTTGTAGTATGTTAACGGCCATGACGACTCTTGGGTTCCTGCCGCTGTTCATGGAGAAAATGGTGAGGTTTGACGACAGCATATCTGTTGTCTTCTCAGTATCCGCAGCTGTCCCTGCTCCACAACAACTAACAAGAATAACATAGAATGGTTTTGAATAAGTTTTATAATTATTTGCTTTATAAATGATGTACATCTGACATTCCATTTTTTAATCCTTACTGTTACTTACTATATGTTAGGTGCAATGTAGTGAATCTTGGCACACATTTTATCTGCCACTACTTCTTCAGAGGTGGCTCTTGTGTCTGCTCCCAGAACTACACCATCCTATACACACGCACATGTTTAGTCTGACAGACAATATGTAACAAATTACAAAAAGTTTTGATATTCTGGTTACCTTATAAACCACTCCAGCAATGGTGGTGCCTGTTTTCATGGGTTTCGGTGCCTTGATTTTACCCTCTTCTGAGCCATTCTCCAGAACAATGTTTCTAAATGAAAGAGATTTGTGCATCATATAGGAGATTGCAAGGAAACGTAATGTCAGGACATACTTTTAAAATGTTTTGATCTATGAAGAATCGATTCTAAAAGACAAGGTACGTTTTCTTTTTGAAGAGAAAGACTTGAAGTCTGAAAGTACTTTCACTTTTGTTCCGACACCTTGAAACAATGGTTATAACGACGCAAGGTTTATTTTCTAGATTTTACGCACAGCGTTATCATAATATAAGTGTTTCAAGCCTAACTCCTTCTTACCTTGTGGAATTTTCGAAGTTAAAACCAGACCCAGCAGGTTCGAGGACGTTGGAGAGTGCCATGTCTAAATTCTCAAACCGGGAACTGTTCTCTTGAAGTAATGCGCCTCGCTAACACTAGTGTTGCTGTTTCAGAGGAGCGTGCGCAGTGCGCACACCGCACAGTCACTGTCGGGCGACGCGTACGCGACGTTTATCCACGATCTGTATGTCGAGTTTTTAATAATGGACAGCCATCATTCATACTCACAAGTCAAAGGTGTCAGCACCGGAGTAAGTAGCATATGTATCGTGTTTTAAATGAGTTAAACCTTTCGCGTTGCTTGGTGAGCTTAGGCGAAAATGATTTTAAATGCGCATCGGCGACCAGGCAGGTGATGTTTATCTTATAGCCTGAGACCATATTATAAAATACTCGTTTAAATATATTACAATATCCATCTGTGTAGATGGGAAGCTGCAGTTTAAGTGTAACCTATAGCTCAAAGTTACTTTCGCTTTCGTGGATAGATAGCCTATTGTGGCATTGTCAGGGCGAGGATAGTCTTGAAATGTCCATTTCCATTTAGAGGTATCTATAGTTTTAATTATGGACTGTCGCATAAATTCCTACTTAGTTTACGCATTTTCGCATATAAAGTAGCTAATGGTAGAGGATGTAGGGATAAAGTAAGCCTCCCCCCCTCGCTTAATTTTTCTTTTGACCACAGATGTCACTAAATCTCACCTCAGCACATTTAGGGAATGGCTGTGCTCTTCTGCATTTTGACTTGACATCAGCATTTGTGATATATATATATTAGACCTGAGGAGTTAAAAAGTCATTGAATAATTGTGATATGTATGTGTTTATATTATGCTGGACTTTGAGTGTTTTTATGTTTGTTTGTTAATTGGGGGATTTGTGCACACAGTAATTAGTTTAGATTTGTGTGGTGTTGTTTATTTTATAATTTAGAATTATATAATATTCGTTATAATTAATATAATTTTATTTTACAGATACTTTTACTTTCAAACAAATATACATGTTAATTGCTTGGCTTAATTATGATGTAATTTTTATTTTTTTTGTAAGACGACCATCCTTGCTGTCAAGTTCAATGGAGGAGTTATCATTGGGTCAGACTCCAGAGCTTCTATGGGAGAGTGAGTATTTTCCAGCAAATTGTTCATTCTCATAAAAAAATTACACCTCTCATAACTACACTGTAAAAAATTTATGGTAAAAAACCGGCAGCTGTGGTTGCCGGAATTTTATCGTAAAAAGTATGGTAGCAGCATTTTAGGTTTTACGGTTTTAACTTAAATTTACAGTTAAATACCGTAATTTCATTAACTGATATAATGTTAATATACCAACCTATTGAAGTACTGAAATCTGTTTTGTACCTTTGTAATACACTGATAACCACCAAATGCAGGAGGTGATGAGAAAGTCACATGATGAACCAAAGCCCATCACAAGCAGCTTTTAAATAATAACATATATAGAAGGAGCACAGTGTCATTCACACAGACACTGAACACCATCATGTTAACACACATGAAATGGAAATAATGCCATAAACATTCATTTAACAACATTAGGTGTAGCATACAACCCTAATATACAAAACTGATTAGAAAAAACTAAGAAGAAACATAGTTATTTCAACAAAAAAACATACAATTTGAAATGTAACGCAGGGAATTCTGGGAATGTCAATGTACGGTTATTCACTGTAAATTATGGTCATTTTTTACAGTGTACAATATGACTTTTACCTACAGATCTTATGTGTCATCAAAAACCATCAACAAGCTGATCCAGGTGCATGATAGAATATTCTGCTGCATCGCTGGATCACTGGCTGATGCACAAGCTGTTACCAAAATGGCCAAATTCCAGCTGTCTTTTCACAGGTCTGTTTATTTCTGTAGCATTTTTGCAGCATCCTAAAGAAAAGTTTAGTTAGTCGTCGTGTTTATAGTTTATAGTGACTATAAAATCACTCTATGTCTTTAGCATTCAGATGGAATCTCCTCCTTTGGTAAAAGCTGCATGACTTTTACCTACAGATCTTATGTGTCATCAAAAACCATCAACAAACTGATCCAGGTGCATGATAGAATATTCTGCTGCATCGCTGGATCACTGGCTGATGCACAAGCTGTTACCAAAATGGCCAAATTCCAGCTGTCTTTTCACAGGTCTGTTTATTTCTGTAGCATTTTTGCAGCATCCTAAAGAAAAGTTTAGTTAGTCGTCGTGTTTATAGTTTATAGTGACTATAAAATCACTCTATGTCTTTAGCATTCAGATGGAATCTCCTCCTTTGGTAAAAGCTGCAGCATCCATCATGAGGGAACTTTGCTATAACAATAAGGAAGAGCTGCAGGCAGGCTTCATCACAGCGGGCTGGGACAGGAAGAAGGGACCACAGGTGATGCTCTGCTAAACACAAACTACGACCATAATACAGTTCTGTATCACAGTCACATGTGACTCTCAAATTTATTGTATGCATGCAAAAAAATAAAAATAATAAGGAGAATCATACAATACGAACAGCGCATTTGCACTGAAAAAGAATAGCTGCCGAAAAGAAAGTACAGAAATATGATGCTATTGTCTGTTTATTCAAATATTATATAAATCTCTGCAATGCAGATGAGTGATATTCTCTTTTGCATATGTTTTGTCTTTGCACAGATATACGTAGTGTCTTTGGGAGGAATGCTACTCAGTCAGCCTTACACTATTGGTGGATCTGGCAGCACGTATATCTATGGTTATGTGGATGCCAAATTCAAACCTGACATGAGTTTAGAAGAGGCTACACAGTTTTCCACAAATGGTAAATAGAATTGGAATGAAAAAGATATTGACATTTATATGTGCAGTGAATAAAAAACTGTGTCTCCACAGCTTTGGCTCTGGCTATGGGTCGGGACAACGTTAGTGGCGGTGTGGTTCACCTGGTCGTGATCACTGAAGCGGAAGTCAAGCATGTAGTTGTTCCAGGAAATAAACTGCCCAAGTTCCATGATGAGTAGAACACAAAAATGACCAAACTGGACAGTTCTACAAATGTAACTACTTTGTGACTAGATGTGTGAAGAGTTTTCTGAAGATTATTTTCTTCACCCCCTTTGTAATAAATATATAAAAGTGTTATTTTCAGTGTGATGTCCCTTCTTGCATATACAATTGATATTTTGTCAATTTCAGATTAATTTATTTGGTTATACATCAAGGATATACAGTGGTGTGAAAAGATTTTTGCCCCCTTCCTGTTTTTTTTTTATTTTTTGCATATTTGTCACACTTAAAAGATTCAGATCATCAAACAAATTTTAATATTACACAAAGATAATGCAAGTAAATACAAAATGCAGTTTTTAAATGATGATTTAATTTATTAAGGGAAAAAAGCTGTCCAAACCTACGTGGCCCTACGTGAAAAATGAATTGCCCCCTCCTGTTAAATCATGAACGAACTGCAATTAACCACATTATTTTAGAAAGCTGAGTTAAATTTCACTAGCCACACGCAGGCCTGATTACTGCCAGACCTGTTGAATCGAGAAATCAATTAAATAGAAGCTGTCTGACAAAGTGAAGCATGCTTAAAGAGCAACACATTATGCTGCGATCTAAAGAAATTCAAGAACAGATGAGAATTGCCAGTTATCGCAAACACTTGATTGCACAACCAGTTATTAGATTTAGGGGGCAATTACTTTTTCATGTAGGTCCAGGCAGGTTTGGACAGCTTTTTTCCCTTAATAAAAGAAATCATCATTTAAAAACTGCATTTACTTGCATTATCTTTGTGTAATATAAAAATACATTCTCTTTTAATACATTATCTGAATCTTTTAAGTGTGACAAATATGCAAAAAATTAAAAAAACAGGAAGGGGGCAAAAACCTTTTCACACCACTGTATATGTCCACACAAGCTATACAAAAGAGGTGCTTTCAGAAAAAACAGTATATGAAATCATCTATTATGCCTACATCTTTCCCTCATTGTCTGACTGTGAAATGAAGAATGATTAGTAATGATTACTTTAATTTCAAGCATTAAATTGAAATTATTATGCATTTACTACATTTCTACTCAATTTCTGTAGAGATTAAAACCCTAATTTAGACCTATACACAATTAGTAAGCAGTGTTGGGTGTAACGCATTACAAGTAACGCAAGTTACTTAATCAGATTACTTTCTTCAAGTAACTAGTAAAGTAACGGATTACTATATACCATTCTATTAACCAATGCCTTTGCTTCTGACCTTCGGTGATCCAGTTCAGCCGTACTAATAAGCACAAATTACTCTAGACGAACATTTGTCTTTTTTTTTTATTGCTGAAGTGTGTTGAAATTTCTTCTTCTGCATTCTACTGTACGGACATAAATTTACATTTCCTTCAACCTGAGGCTTATTCATTTCACTTTTGGTGTGAAAGGCTTTTATATTTGCCAAAAACAGAACTTTTTTATTTTAAAAACAAACAAGCAAGCCCTGTCCAGATTTAAAAAGGTAACGCAAAAGTAACGTAACGCATTACTTTCCATAAAAAGTAACTAAGTACCGTAATTAGTTAATTTTTTATGGAGTAACGCAATATTGTAATGCATTACTTTTAAAAGTAACTTTACCCAACACTGTTAGTAAGGTTGTTTGTGAAATGTACGACGATTCCTCAATTGTTAACTTAATACCAAAGTAGAAGAAAAATGATAAATCTGAGTAAAGTTCAAAGAGATAAAATTAAGTGGTGATTTTGTATTCAACCATAAACGTATAGTTTTAGGACGTCTTAAGTTTCTTTTCTATTCAAAATGATCAATTTGTACTCAGAAATTACACATTGATTGTTACAGTGTTTTGTGTCGGAAGTGAAGTTTCTGTGAGAAAAAATGCTTCTTACAGAAATACAGGGCACAGACAAAGAAACATTAGAAATGCGAGAAGGCACAGTAAACAGGTATGGTGGAGTTGTCTGTATACATTAAATTAGATAGGCATAACTATTGAATACACATTTTTTTGACTTTTTAATATGGTCGTTCAAATTACAGTAACGTTAGCCTAAGACACACTTGCTTCACTGTGTGTGAGCTGAGCACAATGGGAAGTAACTTTCACTTTCTGTTATAGACAAAATGGAGGAATAATGTAGGCACATTAAAATACTGCAGGCCTGACAAAACAAAGTCTCTTTTCGCAACTTAACTCACTTTCACTCGCTGTTAGGAGCTTCGCTTGAGGTACGCAGAGTCGTCGAGTATCGAGTCTGCGTTCACATCTGTAGTTCGGTTCATTTGGTCCGGACCAAGGGCAAAAAATTATACATTGTAGCATTTTTTCAGCCGTTTTGGTTCCACACTGATTGCTCTGGTCCGAACCAGTTGAAATGAACCAAAATGCAGTCACGTGACAACATCCACATCACTCGTTGGCCAGATGTGTCTTTGAATGTAATTCCTAAACTGCTTTTCGATTGGTCAGAATTAACGTGCGGGAAAATTCCAATGGAGCTCTCGGAAGTAAACAAAGAGAGGAGGAAAAGCCAGCAGACAAGACGCTGCTTTTTTAATATGGTCATTAGACCAAATTTCGATGAGGCTCCGCACCTCCTCACAACTCCAAGTTTGTCCACGAGCTGGGATGGATGCTAAAGTGCAAACTGTCAACAAATGCTGGTCCTCATCCCATAATGCACAGCGCAGCTGACTACGTCAGAAATGCGCAGTTCTTTTTGCAGTTGGGTCTGTTCGAGCTCGGATCACGTTCTCCGCACAAACGAACCGCTCCAGTGTTCGTTTGAAAGCATAGGTCTCGGTACGCTTGTTTGGTCTGCTTTTGGTGCGCACCCGAGTGCGATCGCTGCATTCACACCTGCCCAAACGAACCGCACCAAGAGGAATAACGAACTCTAGTGCGATTCAACCAAACTAAATGAGTCAGGGGTGAAAGCACCCTAAGTTATTAGGCCATGCACTTATTGATTGGTGTTAAATACTACCGGAGGAAACATGCTGTATACATTTTCATTTTTTTTACAAATGTGTTGAATAATCCACTTGAATAATGTTTCTTGACAGTATTGAGGTGGAAGATGACCCACTCGTATGCTCTGCTGCCACTCTGGTGAAGAACATTTCATACAAATATAAAGAGGAACTATCAGCACATCTTATTGTTGCTGGGTGGGACAAAAAAAAAGGAGGACAGGTTAGCCCATTTTTGGTTTTATTAGGCCTAAACTGATGAATATTATGCATAGAAGATCATTGCAAATTAAATACTACATGCTAAAAAGTCTAATAATATTAATATTGTATATGTGGTCATTTCTGCCTCATTCCAAACAGGTCTATGCGACACTGAGTGGTTTGCTGACCAGGCAACCTTTTGCTATTGGTGGCTCTGGGAGTTTTTACATTAATGGGTTTGTTGATGCAGAATACCGAAAAAACATGACAAAGAGAGAATGTCAAGAGTTTGTAGTTAACGGTAAGTTTGCCAGTGCAATTTACAAACAGGGTCTGATAATATAATATATTCTAATCATACTAAACTGCTCTATTTAGTGCAGATGGTAGTCTAGTCAGTTCAAATGACTAATAGAGGTAAATGATGTAGAAATAGCAGGGGACTATTACAGTGGAAATAATACAAGTACAAAAACATAGAAGTACAGCACTGAGTAAGTATAAAGATGTGCAGCTGGCATCATGCATGTTTTAGATGTGGCCTTAGTGTTAAGAATAGTCCCATGTGTGCAACTTTTATCAATGTGGTTGATTCAACTCTAACATTATCTCTGCCAAGATGGACAGTCACTCCTAGGGAGTGTTGCTTCTCATTCTTTCTTGATAACTATGTAATGACTGTATGTCTATGAGATATCAAAGCTATCCCTTCTGTCTCTGTCTCTCTGTAGCTCTCACTCTGGCGATGGGTCGGGATGGCTCAAGTGGAGGCGTCGCATATGTTGTTACCATTGATAAAGATGGAGCAGAAGAGAAGTGCATTTTAGGAAATGAACTGCCCAAATTTTTTGATGAGTAAATTAAATTTGCTTTGATATTAAAAGAAGATTTCCATGTATATTTGTAACCTATAGCAGGACAAAATACTTTGAAATTGCAGAAATGTTTGAATTGTTTTGTTGATATTACAAACACTTGCAAATACATAAACATAAAAACTCACTCCCTTATGTGAACAGTGACTCTCAAAATTTGATAATAAACCATATTGGAAACGTGTATGCTGTTTCATTCTGACACAAAAGCTCATTTATGTAAAAAATTTGTTGATTACACTGTAAAAAATTATCCGTAAAATTTACGGTAAAAAACTGGCAGCTGTGGTTGCCGGAATTTTACCGTAATAAATATGGTAGCAACATTTTAGGATTTACGGTTTTAACTTAAATTTACAGTTAAATACTGTAATTTCATTAACTGATTTAATGTTAATATACCAACCTATTGAAGTACTGAAATCTGTTTTGTACCTTTGTAATACACTGATAACCACCAAATGCAGGAGGTGATGAGAAAGTCACATGATGAACCAAAGCTTTAAATAATAACATATATAGAAGGTGCACAGTGGCATTCACACAAACACTAAACACCATCATGGTAACACACATGAAACTGAAATAATGCAACAAACATTCATTTAACAACATTAGGTGTAACACACAACCCTAATATACAAAACTGATAAGACAAAACTAAGAAGAAACATAGTTATTTAAACAAAAAAACATCAAATTTGAAATGTAACGCAGGGAATTCTGGGAATGTCAATTTACGGTTATTCACTGTAAATTATACAGTCTTATTAACTTCCAAAAACGGTATACTACCGTACAATTAATGTCCAATACATGTAATGTCCAATACAGTTTTTCACTGTATATAGTAGGGGAATTTACCATTAACCATTTAACAGGATTTTACTGTAGCATTTTTACAGTCTTTTACCGTTAAATTCAAGGTAATTTTTTACAGTGTAGGTTATAAGCAGTAATGGATTGTTGGCTACTAAAGGTCTCTGCTGTTATGACTCATCATTTGTTAGGCAGAAATGAAGGAATGCGGGTTAAAGAGCAAGTTTTCTGTTATGGCTCCTTGTAAAAGAGAGATATTTGTTGCTCCTAAACAATAACAAATAGACATGTCCTAAAAAGATTTATTAATTTGTCTTGAAGATACAGCCTATATTATTTTTGATAATATTATTATGGTATAGCCTAACTGCTCCATACATTTTGTGTAGCCTATCAACTGACTTGATTTGGGATTTTAAAATGTATAACTGAGTGAAGGTTTTAATGAACGCTTACGCAGAGCGCAGCCTTTTTTGTTGCAGATGTGGAAGGAAAATCCCTTATCCTGAGAAACTGAAAGTAAAAGCTAAATAATGTAGGTGTCCTGAAATGCCCCGGCGCTGTGTAAAGAAATGATTACCTCGCACTCCGTGTGAACGTAGCAAAACGTTACCGACAAGAAAATACCCAAGAATAGGTTCGCTTTGTTCATTTACGCGCGCAGGTTATTTAGCCGACGTAGGCTATCCATGCACCATGCGTAAAGTTTTGGTGTTCGCGTGTGTATTATGTGTAGACATAATAATAGTGTACGCTCTGGACCTCGGAGGAACTTTGCTGAAGTCTTGTACAAGAAACCTCGACCATGACCTGTTTCGCCGGTGGGCTGAATCCGGACTGCGGTGCACACTGCTGTGCGCAGGAGCTGCTTTATATAAAGACGCGGCGGATCCACTGATACGGAGATGGATTACGGTCCACTGTTTTATCGGTTCGGTATACGAAACCGGGCGCTTAGCGCTGTTTGACAACTATCGCCTTGACAAGTTTAATTCGTGGCTTGTCGGTACCGTCGCTGCTGCTGTAGCTTGTCTGTTTTGGGAGGTAACACTGCCGGACACTAACGGAGAGAGTAACGGTAAAGAGCGCAAACAGAAGGCTCGAGTCCTCTTCATCCGGGTCATCCGTTTGTCCAAACCAGACTACATATTATTGTGTGGAGCTTTTGTCTTTCTGACCTTAGCTGTGCTATGTGAGTATTTTGTTGTATTTAGTCCTAAAATAAAAGTATAATATACACCTGCTTTGTAAAGTAGGCTACTTTTGACATGTTTCAGGTGAGATGTTCATCCCACTGTACACTGGAAAGGTGATTGACATCTTGGGTTCCCATTATCAGTGGGATAACTTCAGATCAGCTATCATTCTCATGGGATTATTCTCACTGGGAAGGTTGGTATGGCAAAATATGTGTTTTGTATTGCAAAAATGACCATTTAGTTATCGGCATTTACTTAATGAACTTAATGTTGTTTGTTATTCTCAGTTCTGTCAGTGCTGGTTGTCGGGGAGGCCTGTTCATGTGTGCAATCAACAGGTTAACTTGCAGAATAAAGGTACAACTGTTTGGGTCCCTTGTCAGGCAGGACATTGGCTTCTTTGAGACCATCAAGACAGGTAGATCAAATGCAATTGCTGGTGCAGTCATTCTGATTCTCTGTATGCAAACTTTAGTTGTCATCAGTGTGATGCCCTTTTCACATGGACTCATAGTTATTATTTCCACTGAATCTGTCTTTCAGGTGATATCACATCTAGACTCTCCACAGACACTACTCTGATGGGTCGGGCTGTAGCCCTGAATGTCAATGTCCTTCTGCGGACACTGATTAAGACGCTGGGCATGTTGTATCTGATGCTGAGCCTCTCGTGGAAGCTTACACTGCTGATGCTGATGGAGACGCCACTGACAGGCTTACTGCAGAACATATACGACACACATTATCAGGTATGGGGTTAACGAAAATGAATGTAATTATGAATAATAGATAATCATTTGTGTGCTTTTGAGAATCATATCTTATATCAAGTTTTCATGCCCTCTTTAGAGGCTCTCAAAAGAAGTTCAGGACTCTATGGCGCAAGCCAATGAAACTGCTGGGGAGGCGGTGTCAGGAGTCAGGACGGTAAAGAGTTTCAGGACAGAACTTGGTGAAGCCCATCGCTATGATGTCCGCTTGATGGAAACCCATAATCTGAAGACCCGACGGGACACAGTCAGGGCGATTTACCTGTTGGTTAGGCGGGTTAGTATGAGTTTAGTCTTCAAGAGCATATGTGTTTATTTTCTTTGAAGCAAACTTGTTGATATGGAACTGCATTGCTATAGATAGTGTCTTCTTTACCGTTTGTGCGGTTTGCAGATGACAGATTTGGGAATGAAGGTGGCCATGCTTTACTATGGGAGACTCTTCATCGAGTATGGACAGATGAGCACAGGGAATCTCGTCTCTTTCATCCTCTATCAGCAAGACCTTGGAGACAACATTGGGGTATGCCTCTGTTTATTTTAAAAGAGGGATTTCTCTGTTGACATGTAGGGTTGTATGACCTTCTATGTAAACCTGCTTTTTGTGAAATGAATCATTTTCAGCTTAAAAAAAAAGAGTAATAAATATTTATCCATCTCTTTCCCAGACTTTGATCTATATCTTTGGAGACATGCTGAACTCAGTAGGTGCGGCTGGTAAGGTGTTCGAGTACATGGACCGAAAGTCTGAAGTCAGTATTGATGGTAACCAGCAGCCCAGTGATCTGAAAGGACATGTCAGCTATCAGAACCTCACCTTCTCGTATCCCAAAAGACCTGACCACAATGTGTTAAAGGTACAACTTTTAGTCTTAAGGATTAAGAAGGCAATTCACATGAACCTAAAATATGAGTAAATATGGTAATTAAACACATAAAGTATAAAGTATTAAACAAAAAATATATTTTTATTTCTTATATTTTCTTCAAAGGGTTCATAAACTAAGGAGACAAACTGTATGTATAGACAGACAGTTGAGTGCATGTGTGCATACATTTGCAAACATATTGTGTATGCTAATTCTAAAAAAAAAAAAATAGAATGTTGTTAATCATGATCTATACATGGTACAGTATATACTTGGTTTTTGTAATATTTTAGAATAATTACCTTACCTTTTTGTTTGTTTTCAGAACTTCTCTTTGGAGTTGAAGCCGGGTCAGATGACGGCTCTAGTGGGAATGTCAGGTGGGGGGAAGAGCACCTGTGTGAGTCTGCTGGAGAGATTCTACCAGCCTCAGCAGGGACAGATTCTGTTAGACAGACAACCACTGCAGAACTATCAACACAAATACTTGCACAGCAAGGTGACTACTCTGAAAGAACAAACCATGTTAATGTTGAACTGTAGATTATTTACTATCTATAAGTCTACTTATAAACTAAAGAACAATATACAACCAACCAGTGCAATGCAAAGAACATATACTGTAAATAATCTTTTTCAGATAGCAATGGTGGGTCAGGAGCCTGTACTTTTCTCTGGCACTGTACGAGACAACATTGCCTATGGTCTGCCCAGCTGCTCAATGGAGAGAGTAAAGGAGGCTGCCAGCAAAGCCAATGCCCATGCTTTCATCTGCAAACTGGAAAATGGCTACGACACAGGTAAATGAACTGCTGTCACGGCCCACTGTCATTCTTGTGTCAGTGGCTAGAAAGATTCTGATTGGGCAAAAAAATTAAAGCAAAAAATCTAAGTTATTTTCTATTTTAAACATCAGAATTGGTAGCATTCATAGCCTTTTAGTTATACATCCTGCCTATACCCCAACAAACTTAGCTTGAAAAGGTTTGCTGGTACACTTGCTAGACCAGCAAGAAACAGCCTGGACTAGAATGCAGATACATTATTAGTCTAAGATGGACTTTAAATTTAAAGTAATTTTAGAATTCCTGATATTATCAGCAATTCTGGATGTTTTTCTTTTGGATTTTTGTAGTCACTCCATTTATAATTGGATAGGAAAGGTTTTAGCAGCTTGGTCCACTTGCTAGACCAGCATACCAGCCTTGGCCTAAGATGGACTTTACATTTAAAATCATTTTAGAATTCCTGAGCACTGAAGAAAGCATGAGCTGAAACATCTGCTCTTTGACCTGTTTTTAAGACACTTGCACTTTTTTCATCTTGTAGATGTTAAATTAAAGTATTTTTTTGTGATAGACCCTTGCCTTGTAATAGCCACACTATTTATTTTTTAATAAAAAAGATTTAGATTTAAGCATGGTAAAGGTGTTTTATTAAATGCCACAGTCATAAAATCCTGTTTTCTTTGTCAGATGTGGGAGAGCGTGGAAATTTGCTCTCGGGAGGTGAGAAGCAGCG